TTTGTTTATAATTATTTAATACAAGACTTTGTGCGAGACCCAAGATCCATAGGACATTGTTTTTTGTTTTCTATGTACCAGCTGGTTTCATCATTATCTCCGATTCTTGTTTTGTTTACAACTTGTTCAAATAATTGACACCTATATCCCACATCTCGCTTGTCGTTTATTAATAACTTGTAAATATTTAGGGATAGTGTGGAGTTTTGTTTATGTGCCTTAATATTATTTTTAAAGTTTTGATTATATATTGATCACACCTAAAAGTTTATAGGAAATTCGGTCCTCACTGGGGGACATGCTTTAGATTTTAGAAGAACAAGATAGGGGTTTAAGCCAAAGAATTCACTTATTATTCTAAGACTAACACAGAAATATAGTACCCTATTATGATATTTTTCAATTAAACTACGATATGTAATATATGCAGGTCCAGCAAAAGGGGCTAATATCTCATAATATAACAAAATATTTAGTATTCAACTATATTTTAAATAAAATTGCCTCCAATAAAAGGTTATATATGAGCAATAAAAAATAATCTTTTTATTCAAATTTCACTTAATGTTTTATACACACATGTACTTCAATTTATTCATAAAAAATATTTCTTTCTAATAACTATTTAAGCTGAGTCACTTGTGAAAACAAAGAATTTGCTAAGTTATCAATATGATACATGTGAACTATATCTATATTAGTTTTTTTTTTTTTTGCCATCTTTCACCCAAGAAGGAAGTCACTTACATAATCACATCTACAGAGGATCGAATCCGAAACCTCACGTTTATTAAGATATACACTTAGGAGAAGTACTTAGTGTCATTAAATTTAGAGCCACTAGCATCTATATTATATGTTTCGACCAAAAAAAAAAAATCTATATTATGTGCGTGTGTATCAAAGTATTATTTATCAATTATGAATAATGTAACTTACTAATCCCAGGGGATAAATTAAGTGGTCCTTGGGGAAGGGGGAAATCACGTTCATTGCTTGAAATACCCAAAAAAAAAAAAATGAAATGGATTTTAGTCCCCCATTCCATATGTCGTTTTTAATTTGGCCTCCCAATCATATCAAGTTCTAGATTCATCACTAGATCAGACTTGCAATTAGATTTTATGTAACGCATTGAGAAATCCTTATTCCAATTCTAAAGCCTTTAATTATATCTCCCCAAGTTGTGCTTAAATATCCACAAATAAAATAGGAAAATTGCGTATAAAAATCATTGAAAAAAGGTATTCACAAATAAGGATCAATAACAAGTTACCATGAGGGAAAAAAGAAGTTTCTATTTTTATTTTAACAACAAACAATTTTATATCAATTCTTGTCTGCAATTAACTTTTTTCAGTGGTCATTGTATGTGATTGTCCCAATTTGACAGAATTTTTTTTTAAAAAAAAAAAATTTGAACAAACTCGATTCTTTTTATTAATAAAATAAAAGTAGATGGTGGGAGAAATTCTCACAGTGAGTAGGGACTGGATAGCATATATAATCATTTCAGCATCATTGATTAACTATGTTGTTAATCAAGAACTGAGGATCGGAACTTGGTTCAGATGCTCTTGCCCAATGAAAAGGAGCTGTGTGGTTGAGTTTCTATTTTCTAAGGCAACAAGGGCACAGCATGATGTCACATTTACATCATTAATTGAAAAAAAAAAGAAATTTAAAGACAAAATAAGACTTATAACAAAGGGAAATAGGAATGTTTATCCATTTAAGGTATGAAATGGGATTTAAGACAAAAGGAAGGGGACAAGAAGGGTCACAGGGCCCTTAAGTTATAAGGCAATAATGAAGAAAGGAAATATGAAGAGGACCACACGTTGGTCCTACGTACCTACTCCTTCACATTCCTTTCCCCACTTGTCATTATTACCATGGGAGAATGGCAATTAAGTTCCCTTAAGTTAGTTCTCAACCAATTTTAAAATACCAACAAAGTTCTTTGGTCCTTTACGAGTAATAAGTGTTTGCTTTTTAATTTTACAATTTCATTATGATGTTTTTGTAACTTGTTTTTTAAATTTGGATAGGGAACATAAATATTTATCTTTAATATTGAGTAATACTAAATCTAATAATTTCATGAATTTGCAAGTTTAGCTCCTTATTTTGCAATTTCATTTTGATCCATTTACAACTTGTTTTCTTAATTTTAACAGGAAATATAAATATTCATCTTTAATATTGAAAAGTGTTAAGTCTAACAAGTCCATGGATTTGCAAGCTGGATTCTCAATTTTACAATTTTATTGTAATTAATTTGTAATTTTTTTATAGATTTTAACAGAAAACATAAATGTTTAAATTTAATATTGAAAATATTAAGTCTATTTTTTTTCCCACATATTGCCTAGTTATCAATAAAATACATAGATCCTCTATTTCTTCGTTGTGTATTGTCTATTCTTCAACCCTATTAAAATTTAAAAAATAAATTGCAAATGCATCATAATATGGTTATAAAATTTTGAAGATGTTAGACTTTGTTGGCACTTTAAAATTGGCTAGGATTTAATATGAATTAATTGGTTTCCTTAAGACTTAACTGTCATTCTTTCTATTATCATTGTAGCCCTAGCCTAGTCCCCTCTTGTTATCATTTTAAATATAACTACCACCATATAATACTCATGTCCTTGAATCATAATCTCTTCTTAAATCCTGATTACCTTCTAGGACATCTTCTAGAAGTTATGTTTTATATCATTTTCATAATTATTTTTTTCAACTGTATCCCTATTTTATTTATTATTATTTTTAAAATGATGCATTTAAATTTTAATTATTATTATTAAGACAGTTATATAAAATATTTAATGAGTGTGTATAATTGAAAAGATGTAATTTTTTAAGAGATTAATTTCACCTGACTCTTTTTTTTTAGAAGCATAAAATAATTATTAATATCTTATATTGTAGTATAGAGTTAAAGGAATTCAATCCAGTGAAGTTCTTTTAACGTTATTTTATTTTTTATTTATAAAATTCAAATCTTGATTTTACTTGAGATAAATAGAGCATGCCACGTTTGAAATTCCACAGCCATGTTATCAGTGTAGTGGGCAAACCAGTCAATGCTTCTCTAAATACATGATAATACTCATTTGTCCAATTCGTCATGTTTTTTTTTTTTAATGCCATTTGATCGGGTCGTATTCAAATATTGTCTAGTCTAATTAGAGTAGTTGTATTAGAAATGTATTTTACATCTACTCTAACTCAAACTCAAGATCTCATATTTAACCAGCCATAATTTTTTATTTATTAAGAGAAACACCTGTTGATCTGATTCCTTACTTTAGATGTCGTCTAATAGCCAGTAATAAAAGTCCAAAGAATTAATATGAACTAGGGCCCCACCGTGGACTTGGTAGGTAAGTAAGAAGAAGAACAATGTTTGGGTTTTTTCCCCCTCAAAGGAATGGAAAATGATGAAAGCCTGAATGATGGGATCTGATGCAAAATGCGTGGTCGGTGAATCAAGACTTGTTTCTTCTGACTCTGAGTGCCACAATGCCGGCCATTACTCGTAGCGATGTAAGTTGATGAGTAGGACTTGGCAAGTCAATTTCTTGCCTCGTGCCCCCTCATTTGGTTTTTTTTTTTTTTTAATTCGTTCCTTTTCTGCTTCTATTAAACGAATTTTTTTTTTTTTACCTCACGACCACTTTGATATTAGTAAGGTCAATATATCGATATGTTAATTAAAATTGACATGCATGAAAGAATTCAAAAGCCGCAAGGCACGAGAGTATTCAGAGGTAGCAGGACCAACAAGGCTTAACACATTCAAGGAATCAGGGTGCTCCCGTGTGTTAAATGGGCTTGGGCTTGACACAATATTTTGACCAAAAGTCTTAAGGGAGTTAATTTTTGGGTTCTTTCACTTTTAGATATTTCAGTAAATCAAACTCCATTTAATGTAAAACTTCTTGTATCAAGTCTACTGAAAAATTTCTCTCCACATATATTTGGCCTTTTGATATCAAAATAAAAACAGTTTTAAAAATAATGAAATTTAAAATATTTATCAAAGGAGTTTTAATAAAAAAAAACAAAAGCCAGCATACTTTTAAAACCTGTTTGGTTTCTATTTTTATTTTTTTAAAATTTTTTATAATATATTTTTAAAATTATATTTAAAATGAAATAAAATAAAAATTCATTTAGTTATATTAGTTAAAAAATGGTTTTGTAATTGAAAAATGTGTTGATAGTAATAGTTATAAATGATTAATGGTGATAGTTTACAATAAAAATTATTCAAACTAACTATATTTTTCAATAATCAAATGTAATGTGCTTTGAAAATAAAAAAATAAAATAAAAATAATTTTAAAGTTTTTCCATTTTTTAAAAAATAAAAAATGAAAACAGTTTTAAAAATAATTAAATTGAAAATGGTGAACCAAACGAGTTTTTGATTTTTTTTTTATTTTTAAAGTTTTAAAAACTGAAACCACATAAGCTCTTGTAGCCTCTTTTTTTCAAGCTTACTTTCTTATAATTGTCTTTTATAATGATTTCGTACGAACTTGCATAATCATGCTTGTTTCACCAAATGCCTTAATGCAATCACAACATGCAATTATTTGATTTCTAAAAAGAAATTAATTTTAATATTGAATCATCTACCTAATTTTTGTCAAGTGTTCAGTAATTTATATATAATTTATGACAAAATTTCATCACAAAATTTTCAAAGAATTTCAGCATTGCCAATAGCCTCACATCAGCCCAAATATTTTGGACTCATGGGATAAGACAAACATGAGTCAATATGAACCAGCCCAATAATCCAGATCCTGTCAAAATTACTAGTTACTTTTGTATTTTGTTTTTGACTCCAATTTTTCTCCTAAATCTAAAACCTGCTCGTTTTTCACTTTCATATTTTGGAACACACGAATTGCAGAATCCATGTCACTTGCTCTAATATAGCTACTGATGATCTTATTCGATTCAACAACACCACAAAGTTGTTGTCGTCTCAAAAGTGAAGATTCTGGGGAAAAGGGGATAGATATTGTGGTTGCGGTGGTTCTCCAAACCATTTTAACAGAACTATTCCCCTTGGTTCCATGAGGAGGATGGTCCAAGATATCTGCAGAAGTAACTTCCCCATTTGGTTTGCCATCTTTGATGGCATGATTTGGTGTTTTCTTACCAATGAACTACAGTGGAATGTTACTCAGTTTTGGTTCCTTAAATGACGTGAAAGTGAAAAAAACATGCTTCATGGAGATGCAAGAGAGTGAGGCGAGCTCTTTTAATGCAGGAGTATCAGCAGTTCCAAGTGATAGTTTGTCAACAGCTTTCTCTTCAGAAGGCATTTTCTTTGTCAAGTCATCAAAACCATCATCGTCACTGAAAAATACAATTACCAAAAGGAGCAAATTAAGAGCCAGATCCTGACAGATACTTTCTTATCACCAAAAAACAAAGGATGTACCAGCTACTGAACAAACCAAAACCAGTGCATCAATTTAAAATTGTGGTATGTAAATGAGCTAACCAGGCAATTATTTCTCTCTCTGCTAAAGAATAAAGCTTTTCAAAAGGATGACACTCTTTGGAGTTCCTTGTAATTCATTGAAGCTGATCAAAATTTAAAGCCCCCCCCCCCCCCCAAAAAAAAAAACAATGTGGTAGAGCCTCAGAGGGCAGCTTCTGTGATTCTTCGGAAATTGTGGTTGGAGGGAAATACATGTAATTTCAAGGGCCCTGCTCCTTGTATATGACTGTATGTTAAGGGACAGGATTGTGCTTGAAAAGTTGGTGCCATGCATATGGTTCTTTCAGGGGAGCTTCAATTTCCTACAGTAGATAAGAGCTTGGATAGATTTGCGGTATCCAAAGATTTATCTGGCTCTACCCATCTCTTTTTCTTTTTTTTCCCATTCTTTGTTTTGGATGATTTCTTAAAAAGCTTGGACACAAAATGTTGGATTATTCTCTCTTGTCTAATCAAATTTCTTTGATAAAAAAGACAAGGATAATACCAAACAAATAAAAAAGCCTTAAGCAATATAGATGAAATAATCTTATATTAATATTTAAGCATGACATTCGTTATTCAACAATAGCTGACGGGCAATGTTTAACTAATATTTTGCTCCCCAATATGCGTTGCTTGCACATTTACAATTCAAAGTTTGAACACTGTCCCAACTTACCATAGTTTACTCAAAAAATCGGCTTGATCATCGACCCTATACTTTTAATAAAAATCATAATTAACTTTCCACTAGTAACTTCTAACAAAAATCAAGTTCGTTACTTGATAACTAATTTGCGGCGATTTATTTACTATGCAACAATCCTTTGAATCAAATTTTTTTGTTTATTTCCTCATCCCATAACACCAGACACATGAAAATATTGAATATCACCATGTCGTATAATACTTTAATACACCCCAATGGCATTACAAACACTAGGAAAGGCAAAAATAATAAAGCAAATTTTTTTCCCTGTCAAAGCATTTCCATAACAGCAGTTGCCAAGAGCCACATTAATAAACAAGCCTTGAGGCACTACTACGACCAATAATTTTAGCATGTTGCCCATTCTAACACAGCTTAATAGCAGCCCTAAGTAATCACAACTTTTGACAAAAGCATAATTCAATCACAACCCCAACTTAGCCCAATACAAGCCTTGGCCATCATCAAATACAAACTCTGGACAGCATATCAACCCACACGTTTAGCTCATAACTAGCACTGCTTCATATGTTGGCTCAAGTCAACACAATTTACATTTATGGTATTACATCAGTCCCCAAATTTACTCATTAACGGCTCCTTAACATAAATTTTGAGATCATATTCAGTAACAAATCTAGCAAAGAATACCCTTAATCTCCTCACCGTAAAATTATTATTCTAACAACAAGGTTTCGTCATTTTCTTCTCAGATAAAAACCCCCGGACAGCAGTAATTGTACAACCAAACACAAACCAAGAATGAATAGGAATGAACCAAAATCTCACCTTGCTTTGCACTCCAAATCAACTAAGCCGAGCGAGAGGGAGGGTGCCGTCGAACTTGTTCAACTAGAGGGAGAACTGCCGTCGACGGCCAGGAGAGAGAGGGAGAGGACAAAGAAGGGAAATCGTGGCGTTCAGTTTCGGTGCTCGGGGTGCTCGGCACCTAAAACTGTGTCGTTTGACAGTTTTTTTTTTTTTTTGCTTTTTTGAAATATTTAAAAAGTATTATTATATTAAATAACTGAGATTTAATTATAATAGATCTCACAATAGTTAATTGTGTCGTGTGAAATTTGATTTTTTTAAACTTGGTTTTTGGACTTATTTATGATAGTTGGGTTTGGCTTGGGCCGTTGAAAGTAAAGTCATTGTAGATTGGATCAGGGATCATGTTTGGTTTGCTAAATTTTAGGCTTGAGTCAAGATGTTTCATCTGAGGTTAACAAATTTTGCAAAAAGATTGATTGTTACAAATTGCAAAAGATTAGTTGTAAATTTTAGAAGCCCGATTAAAAATCTTAACAAATTAATTGCAAATCAATCATTTATTATAAAAAAAATTTAAATTATGAAGGTTAATTATTAAAACCAAAAGACTTGGTTCTAAAAGCTAAGATATTAATTAACTTCTTAAGTACTCTCTTCATTTAAAAATGTAAAATATTTTTTGAAGAGTTAGATGCTTTAAAATATAGTATATTTTTAATCTTTTGAGGTGTAATCATTGTATTTTTTTTTAAGGTGTCCTTATTAATAGTGACTTTATATTTATCATAGGATGTTTAATAAGAGTAAATATGAAAAGATAAGGTTAATTTGAAAGTAAATAATTATTTTATTAAGATGTGAGATTCAGTTAAAAATATTTTATATTTTTAAATGGAGGGAGTATATGGATTGAATCCACAACACAAATTGTTTTGCAACTAATTTTTTTGGGATTTACAAGTTATGTTCTTGCAAAAGTTCTGCGCTTTACAATTTTTTTCCAATTAATATTTTGCGCTTCTACGGGGTTTTTCTCATGTCGTGTTCTTTCTAATCAACTTAAATTGTTCTGGGCCTTCGACCTCTTTTTATTTGTTCAGTGAAAATAGTATTTTGAGTTCTACCAAAAAAATAAAACTATTCTGAGTATTTTCTCCCGTATATCCGTGAAACTTTTTTTTCTCTCTCCAAATTTTGATGTGGCCATACCCCTTTATCACCCTCATGTTCTTTTCCTTCCTTCCAAGAGTTAGGCTAAATCGAAGGACGTATTATACTTCGGGTTCGGGGTTTTAATCTCCAAGCAAGCACCATTTTGCCACCGTGTGTACACTTTGACTAAATGCACATTCTCACCCTCCTTTTATACTTGCTTGCTAAGAAAATTCACGGCCAAACAAAATAATTAAATATACTAACTAAGCTCGGCTGAATCAAACCCTGCTACCAATCTTATTATGTTTTTTCCATTTCACTTTGAAATTATTATGAACACTTAATGTAATATATCTGTTTTGGCGACTTGAATCTTGCCATCTAATACTAATACAGTCAAAAACCATTTTTTAATAAAAATCTAAATTCTATTTCCCTCTAATTTAGAGTGGATTACTAATCCATTAAGATTTTGTTTTAGCCTAGCAAAAGAAAAGTGTCACAGTAAAGAAAAAAAAAAGGAAAACACTACTTTTAATTTTTGTATTTTATTTGCATGTCAATATAAGTTTTTGTACTTTGTTTTTGATGTTTTACATTTATACATTTTTCTTTGTCTACAACGTTACTCCTTACATTTTTAGAGAAACGTTGATGTGACACAAACGATATTAATGATGATGACATGTCAATTAATACTGTTAATTTTGTGTTTACATGTCAAATTAATGCCGACATGAAAACTTTAATAAGCAAAAATTAAAATCTAAGTCAGCCTTTTATTTCATTGGATGTAGTTTTTTCTTTAATTTTTTCTCGTCAAAGATTCAATGTCAATATTAATTTAACACGTAAGTATAAAATTAACGGCCTTAACAAACATGTGAATATTATTAATACCGGTTGTGTCACATTAATGTCAATCTAGAAATGTAGAAACCAATTTTACAAACAAAAAAGATGCAAGGACTTAGAATACTGAAAACAAAATTTAATAACTTATACCAAAATCCAAACAAAATATAGAGACTTAAAGTAGTGTTGTCCAAAAAAAATGCAATTACAATTGTAGTTATAATGAAATTGAAACAAAATAAAAATGACAGATTTCATGGAATGTTCAATTGATAATGAGTAATGACAGTACGAGAGGCAGATTAGCCATTCGCCGGTCAAGTGATCATTTTTTGTTTTGGGGAGAAAAAATGGTCGAAGTTTAAAACGTCTGTGTAGTCTGTATTATGTTCAGTTTTAAACGTTTTATACGTCAATGGTGGGACAGATTAAAACAGGAGACTGGACCCCCGCGGTATGAACATGGCAATATGCTGAATAATTTCTCAGCATGGCTGCGAAATTTTTAGATTCCTTTGAGGGATTAACACATATATCTGATTCAATTTTCCAAAAAAATTGTCATTTTTAATAATATATTTAGAAAAACAAATAAACACCTAGATAATATAAAACTTATGCCACGAACAGCTATTAGAACTGTAACTTGCGAGGGTAGGAAAATTTTGGTTGCTAATATGTTTATAATTTTGTTTTTTCAGTTCAATCTTACATTTTAGTCATATGTTAAAAAAACTAAAAAAAAAAGATTGGTTTAATTAATAAAATAAAGTATTTTTCAATGGTAATATATGTTTTTAAAAAATATTAAGGTATAATATTTAATGGGCGGAGAAGGTTCTTTCTCTATAAATAGTAAGCAAGTCCCTCTTCATTCCGCTCCAGCAATGAACAAAGGAGGTACTGCAACGGATTCCATTTCCACTCCTTCAGCTTCGAATTGGTCAGTATACTGTTTTTCAGACATGTTATCTTGCTCTGTTTTGCCCTTTCCTTGACTAGCACGAAGCCACTATTAACATTTCCTTCATCTGTTCATATTTGATGCAAATCAGGTACGAGAAGATCACGATCCTCAAAGAAACAGCAAAGAATTCTTATAGTCAGATAACTTCGTTTCTTTCCACCGTCAAAATGAAGATCAAGCATGCGGGAGAAGTTGTCTCCGCTGCAATAAGGTAGATTCTCCGTTTCTCAATTCTTCTTCCTCTTCTTCTTCTTCTTGAGGATATTTCAGCTGATCATTGATGTGATCTAGGAGTATTAACGATGATACCCAAAAAGAAGCTATGGACATATGTTACAACCTTTTCACTTGGTTGCTTAGCACACTCTTCACCTTGAAGATCACAGATGCAGGAAAGGCTTCCCCCTCAGCAAACTACTCTGTTATGAAGGCCATGGTTCTCATCAAATCAGTTTCCTCTTTGACAACGTCATTGGCAACGTTGTCTCAAATGCATAAGAGAAACCTAGCCGCACTCCTCCTCATGCTGCTCCTTGAGAGTACAGCTTCTCTTTTAGCTCTGAGCATGATTTCAAGTCTCGTTCTGTGGATCTCTGTGTTCCTATGGCTCTGTATTTTTGTGTTGTTTGGGTATTGCTGTTATCCAGAGCTCAAAGAACTGATCCTACAAATCAAGACATGGACTGGGTTCGCAACCCCTGAAGATGGACCCTCACCCACTGATGCAGAGGCCGCCGTTGCTGAACACTGACGTGTTTTGCACGTTCCTCGTTTTTGATATAGAAATAACAACGTTGTTGCTTGAGCATGTTGTTAGTTTCTCTTACTAGAATTTAAGATTCAGTTTGTACCATACGCGTGGAAATAATGCATTGAGAGTATTCCCAATCATCGTGAAGAAGAATTAAATTTGAGCATGATTTATTGGGGGGATATTTGTTATAAAGTTTGCTGGGACTTTTTGGATTGGCTCTTCGAAATGCCCAGAACCAAATTTTATGAATTATGAGCATCAGTAAGTGTTTTTCAATACCTGGGTTCCTGTTTGTTTAAGAGTATTAGAGTCTGTTAAAATATTTTCACTTAAGCTTGTTCGTCAGTTAATTATAGTGGTTATTGTACACGTGTCAACCCATTTGCTGAGATTATAAATATTGTACTGTGCATTCTGATTAATACAAGTCGGATTTATTTTTCTCAATTTACTCTCTCATCCGTCATCCCAAAAAAGAGCATTTTGAGAAGCATGTACAATAGCAGATTGAGAGTGTGACCGAGATCATTTAGAACCTTAAAAATACACCTGGTGGAGTGTTGTTCAGTATGTAAATCACTTAAAAACGATGCTTTGACTATAAAATTTAAATCAACATAAGAGGTAACCCTGCAGACTAATTTCTCCTAAGAGGGTAAATGCTAAATCATAAATGACTACAACAATACACGAATTAACATTAGTCAATCATATGTCATGTCAACAATATATTAAGGAAGAATGACATCTGGAAATCCTGGACACTTTACTACGTATTAAAAAAAAGTAGTTTGTTAATTATTATTATTATTATTATTATTTTTTGGTTGGGGTGGGAGGTTATAGACTTATAATATTATTCTAACTTCTAGTTAATTTCACCGCCATTTCAGTTATTTCACCGCTTGTGCCTCCACGATAGATTAATAATAACTAGACTGAATTCTGTACGTTGCATGGGTTTGATTTAAGAAAATTAAAAGAAATAATATAGATAACAGCATTTACAAAATTCCAATTTAAAAATTAATGTTGCTTGTTAGACAAAATAAAGTTTTATATATATATATATATATATATATTTATATTTATATTTATATATTCAATTTTAAGAGCGGACAGAAAAGATTATGACTTAATCTGTTATATCATCATATGCCCTAATTATAGACCTATTCAATTTTTCTGTTTTTCGATGCTCTCCTTAATCTAGATTTAATCTCATTCTCATGTGTTGCACAGTTTTTTAATTAAGAAAAATGACAAATATAATAGGGATAATAACATTTACTGTAAAATCAATTTAAATAAAATGATTCGGACGTCAAACAACATGAAATTTAGGTTTGACATATATCCAAATTTTTTTGATGTTAAACAAAATGTTTTGATGTAGACTGGATCCCATGTATTGCATGGGGTTGAGGTTATACAAATGTAAGAGAATTTGTTTAATATGATACTAAATTAGAAATAAGAAAAAATTGTAATGAGAGAGCTGATTATGATTTATTTTAAAATATCATTATTTAAGTTAAGAAAAATGTTAGGAAAAATATATTTTAATTTAAATTGCATAACATGATAATTGTAAAAAGAAATATAGATGACAAAATTTACAAAATTGTGATTTTTTTTTTGGTACTGGAATGCTCAGTATTTTAGAATATTTTAAGTTCATTATCTGTCCCAAACTAAATCCAGATCCCTATCTAAGAGACCTTGCAATGGTTATAAATATCGATGGAACGACTTTTTTGAGATTGCTTTATTCATCGTGTTTATTACTTTTCAAAGTTTGAACTTTCATCTTGAAAAATATAGATAATAGCCCTTACTAACTCTTTTAAACCCTGTTAGTTACCAGGTGTGATTTTGAATTCGTGAATGCAGCAAAAAGGTCTTTGGAAAGTTACCCATTGGTTATACCCAGGGACTTAATCAGATGTGCAGATTATCTTGCGCGAACTGCTCATGGAGAAGGATCGAATACCCAACAGATTCAGGGCTGTCCTTTGGAATGCAATGCCATGATATTTGTTGATAGAAACTCTGCTAGCTACGTTCTTGTTCTTTGTCTTGCCTTTATTACCCCCGAAAAAAAAAAAGGGTGTCTGTTGGGCCTGACAATGTTATCCAATAAGATAACCGAACAGAAAAATAAAAGAGGAACCGCAAGTTCTTTCCTCTTGTCTTTGGATTGGAAGAGGAAAGCGGTTATTAGCTGAATGATTATTATTCGGAATCAAGAGAGTGGAAATTGTGCTGGAGAAGAAACGAACTGAGTAGCGGCCATGGATCTTCTCTGCGATGCATACGGCAATGCGTCTGACGACGACAAAAATCAACCGAAACGTCAGAAACTCGCACCTTCTTCCTCGGACCTGCCAAAACCATATCTTCCTCCTCTTATCAATCCCTGCTTGCAGCTCCAGACGCAATCTTCGCTTTCTGGAGGATATGTTTCCAAGCGACAAAGGGCGCTGTTAGGCGTTGATCCCGCTGTTCCCGACCCAGCTCCGGTCCCGCCTTCTGTCACATTATCTGGTAATTGTTTTTCCTGATACTTATTACCATTTTCCTTTTCTTTTTATTCGTTTTTGTTGGCTCCGATTGAGCTGGCTCTGTGTGAGATTTTGTAATTATTGAAGTTGTAGATGATGCAGCGATGCTCAATTAACTCTGGGTTTTGTGATAATTTACTGAAATTAATCCCGAAAATAATTGGAACGATGGTAGATGTATTCGACATGTCTAGGACTGATTTGATTCATCCTGCATTTTCCTTGCGCTACTTTACTCGATATAACAATGTGGACAAACTCTTTTCACTAATATGCACCAACTGACGGATTGAGTTGACTGTAACAGGGAATTTGGAATCTTCTGAATCTGGAACTTTGGTTCTGTTTTATATTAACTCGTGCATAATCATATTTTTCATTTTAATTTCTCGATGATTTTGGTCACTTCCTTAGCTACCAAGTAGTCTGGCATGCACACTGTACACATGAAAAAAGGAGCTGTCTCCACATCTGTTTTTACCTAATACGTTGCAAATTTTCAAATTCCGCTTCGGATATTTTATATTTTGTGTCTTCATATTAGTGTTTATGCCGCTTAGTTTTGTGTACTATACAAAGCATGGACTCTAACAGCTTGGACTGAATAGTTCAACTGCAAAATTTGCCTTATGTGAAAACGTACGCTTTGAAGAAATATACGACAAATAATTCAAACAACAGATACTTTGAGTTCCTTAGTGAGAGCTGGGTCGGTGCTCTATTTTTTTGGGATAAACATGGGATATGTTACTATGTACTTTAATATGTCAGAGGGAAAGATGGGATATCTGGTTTGAATTGGAAGATTTGGAGTCTTAACTATGAGGGATCCATGGTATTGGTTAATTTGTCTTTTGCTTTTTGGCATTCTGATATGGATGGGAGGATGAGGATATTTTTCTTCTGGTTTCTTTCCCGTTTTCTGAAAAAAGGAGAATTTCCATTTTGAAATATCACTATTGAACAAACATTCCCCCCATTCAAGTTCATATTCTGCATGTCACTTGTATAGACTCTTAATAAGGGAGTGATGTGCTTTTTTTTTTTTCAGAAACGCTTGCACAATTATTTCTCCATTTCTGAACTTCCATCTATATTTAGAATAGGCTTTTTTGGTGGGCTTGGGATGTCAGCTTTGCACTCAAAAGAAAGGAAGGCAGTGTTTTATGGCAGAATGCTGTCTTTGATTTTTTTTTTTTTTTTCATTGGACTGGAGAGCTCATTTGCATTAGTGATCTGTTTCATCCTGTTGTCTTTGACTTCTTTGTACCTCTTTCCTTCTAATGCAATCTTCTTTTCTTTATAAAAAAAAAGTGTGATAATATAACAATATATGTCCATTAGCATTACATATCAATGAGCCTGAGTGTATTATGATTCTTTCCTAAAATATAATTTCCGTGAAATAGTTGTTGCCAGGCAGGCAGTTCAGGGTGCCTGAAAACCCAGTCTGCCTCGCCCGGCTTGATCAAAAAATGCCCAACCCAATAGAAGAAAAAGACGCCCGCAAAACCTGGGTTTAACCATCGGGCAAGGCTAGGGTTAGGGCTGAGGTGTCGGACAATCATGCCCGACCCGACCCAAGGTAATAAAATGCAAAAAAAAGATGAGAGCAGGTGGTGCTATTTTAGGAGATGTGGCGGGGTTAATTTTTTTTTTCCTACCCATTTATCTAGCAGCCATTTAATCGCCCCCACCCCCCTCATTTGTGCCCTAGTTTATGGATGATTGTATTATGGTTATATAGTTTTAGCTTTTAGGTCTGATTTTGCTTATATATTTTTTGCTTCCAAGTCTGATTTTTCCTTCATTTTGTTTGTATTTAGGTCTGATTTGTAGTTATAATTTTTTCTTCATTTGATTTTTTTTCCTTCCAAAATCTGATTTTACAGTATGTTTTGCTTCCAGGATCATATTTTCGTTAGGTTTTTAACATCATTGTTTGCTTTCTTATTTAAATTTGTTGCTTCTCCTCCAGGTTCAGTTGCAAGTATACGTACAGCTCAAATGGGTCCATTTTCCTTCCATTTATATGATTTTGGTCTAATGGTTTTAGGCCCAAAGCACCAAACTTCTTAAAAAGAAAAAAAGAAATTTAGAGGATGGACCGGACATACTCATTAGCCCGGCCCTGCCCTAGTGCCCGACCCTGCCTGCCCAACCCTAGAAATCTCAAGCAATATTCGAGCATCGGGCTAACAAACATGGCCCATCCACTTTTAGGGTCGGGCTTCGGGTTCATTGTTAGCCCGGTCCAACCCTGCCCATGAACACCCCTAGTTGCCACTTTCCCATTTAAAGATATGCATTGCTGGTTAGGGAAATAGGTCGATTGAAAAGTACTCCCTCCGGTCCTTATTACAAGATATTTTCAACCATTTCATGCATCTTAAGAAAAGTTAATTTTTTTCTTGATATCATAAAAAAGTGAAATGTATTCTCATTTTTACTCTTTGCTTTAAATAATTATACAACTACATTAAATATCATTACACTAATTAAGAAAGAGTAAAATTGAAAAAAGTAGTTTAATTATTACAAAGTGTACTGTATTTTGAACGAAAAATTACTTCTAAAAGGTGTCTTATAAATAAGACCTGAGGGAGTCAATGGCTAGTTGCTTGATTTACAGCTTTCAGCATTTGCACATCAGTATTGATCACTTCTTTCTCTTTCATAGGCCCTTTCTTGTATATAGTTTCTTTGCCTTGTGTTTAGATTGAACTTCATTGGCAATAGCCACTCATTCAATGACCATGTTATTGTCCATAATCTTAGGAAGCATTTTGGATACCAATCTACCTCCTAGCATTTTATCGTTGTTGAGAAACAAAGCTAAAGGTCATCAAAATCTGAACTTGATACCTGAAAGGCTATCCGTGGCTCTATCTGGTCATACAAAAGCTGTCAATGCCATACAATGGTCTCCCACTTATGGTAAGTCCTCCTCATTGGGCAATTCAATTTTTTTTCTTGATAAGTGAGTCAGTTTTCTTTAAGAAGGAATATTTATCTTTTAAATGTTTCTTATTGGCAGAAGTATTCTATTTGTTTGAGTTACTGCTTAAAGCAAGTATCAATCAACGTTCTCTCTCTCCCTCACACACACACACACACACACACAGAGATGCCTGTTGCGTATATCATTTGCATTGACCAGTTCAAAATGTTAGCTTACAGTTCATCTCCTTGCGTCTGCTGGGATGGACCATATGGTTTGTGTGTGGAATGTATGGAGTAGAGATCAAAAGAAAGCACGTGTAATAAACCTCCATAATGCAGCAGTGAAAGATGTGAAGTGGTCGCAGCAAGGACACTCTCTGCTTTCCTGTGGATATGATTGCAAATCAAGGTTGGTTGACGTAGAAAAGGGGCTTGAGACTCAGGTTTTCTGTGAAGATCAAATTGTCGGAGTTATAAAGTTTCATCCAGACAACTCAAACCTCTTCCTTTCTGGTGGTTCAAAGGGCCATATTAGATTATGGGATATCAGGACTGCCACAGTAGTCCATAGCTTTACTCGCAATTTAGGTCCAATTTTGGATGTGGAGTTTACAATCAGTGGGAAGCAGTTCATTTCTTCTAGTGATGTATCTGGGAGTAACGTCAGTGAGAACTCTATTATTGTTTGGGACGTGTCCAGGCAGGTTCCACTGTCTAATCAGGTGAGATTCCTCTACATTCTTCAAATCTCAGTATTATGTTTTGATGATTCATTCTTTACATCAGCAGCATTGCTAATGTTTGGTTTTGATTTGTCGGGCATGTAGAAGACATGGTGAAAATAAATTATAATTTGTTAGAAATTCTTATGCGTGAAATGTCAGTCCAGAGACAACTTTTGCTGTGCATTTTTTTTATCCAACATAGCAGAAGGTAGTCAATTCTCTGGGTCATGAACCTGTTTATGGAAATATTGTGCACTAATTCAATACTAATCAAGTCAAATTCCTTTAAAAGAGATACAGGAGGGACTAGATGATCAAGTATGATTGCGTTTTTAGAGAAGTCATTTTTTTGTGCTGACTTGTTTGCCCACTAACACTAACATGGACATGGAATCCCAAACCTGGCATGCTCTGCCCCTTCTTACATTAATTTGTTGTTGATTGACGTGTCCAATAGCTTAATTTTTTGGAAAAATTTCATTTAAGACCTCTTGACTACACTTAATGAAAAAGAAGGCCCCTCAAACTCTAAAAATTCACTTTATATCAGGGGTATTGAAATGAAACTAAAATACAGAGTACAGTTACCTCACTGTCCCTCATTCTGTCTAATTCTCTACTGAAGTTTTTCATTTCTCTACATGAAATTATTCATTGACTTATAGGAGTTGTTTGTGCTATTACTAAATCTTGATTTTATTCCAAGTGTTGTAATCATGGAAAAATAAGATGTTCATTCCTTTACGTGAAGTTATTCATTGACCTATATGAGTTGTTTGTGCTATTACTAAGTCTTTATGTTATCTCAAGTGTTGTAATCGTGGTAAAACGAGTTGTTCATTTCCTTACATGAAGTTGTTCATTGACTTACAAGAATTGTTTGGGCCATTACTGAGCAATTTCATGTAGGTTAATGAACAATTTCAATAGAGAATCAGAGGAGATGAGAGACAATAAGGTAATTTTACTTTGCATTTTAATTTCACTTCAGTACCCCTGGTCTGAAGTGAATTTTCAAAATTTAAAGGGCTTTCTTTTTCATTAAGTGTGGTTAAGGGGTCTTAAATAAAAATTTTCCTATTTTTTTTCCCCATATCTGGCTTGATGCCATAACCATTACATTCAATATATATATATATATAAAGATAAGAAATTTGTTGTAGTTGATGCTTCCTTCACGTGAATCTCCAAACATTTGTAGTAGACATAATTACCGTGTGACTAACGAGGCTCTCAAGTATGCTTGTCCTTGTTCACCAATAGTATCCGGGAAACTTAATTAAATTGTTATTTTGTTCTTCAAAGGCAACGTAATGGAATAATTGGAATGCCCATTCTTGTACCTCAACCTATTTTACCACGTGGAAAAATATGAGTTTCTCAAGAAGAATTCAGTATTTAATATACGTATCACATATCTTTATTATACAAATATGTTGTTTAATGATTAGTCTGGTTTCTAAAACTGGTATTTTTAATTGGCTGCAGCCATGTACTCAACACTCAACGTAACAAAGATTGAATCCAAAACTGAATTATCTTTATAGCACTAGAGATACCTTTGAGAGTACATAAGCTCCCTGTCAAGGAAGAAATTCCCGATTTATTGAGGGGGAAAAAAAAACAGGGAACAAGTTAATTAATAAGTGTGCTTGGTGTGACGATGCACCTACACATGTAGCATCTAGTATTCTCCGATATTGTGCCCACTTCACCTTAAGGTAGACGTTCTGTCTTGGTACCACCATTACATTTAGATGAAATTAAGTGGTGATGGTCGCGTGGAACAAATTCCATCACCTATCCCACAACAGAACAAAACCTGAAGACCTTCATGAAAATCCAAAACTGAAGTTTGAAATTGTTGTGGCATGCCAAATTGTTATTGAATTATGTAATCAATACTGTTTCGACCTTGTTTACACGCAAATTTTGTCAATGAGTCTTGTGACTGTTACATATCTTTGTAAATTCTGAATTTAGGTAATCTTACTGTGCTTATGAATCAGGTTTATGTTGAAGCTTATACCTGTCCGTGTGTAAGGCGCCACCCATTTGAGTCTACTTTCGTTGCCCAGTCAAATGGGAATTACATTGCAATCTTTACAGCCAACCCACCTTTCAGGTTAAACAAATCCAAGAGGTATGAAAGCCACGGGGTCTCTGGGTTCCCCATAAAGTGCAATTTCAGTTTGGATGGGAAGAGGCTTGCTTCTGGTTCTTCAGATGGTTGTATTTATCTTTACGATTATCACTCATCTAAGGTTGTTAAGAAAATCAAGGCCTCAGACCAAGCATGCATAGATGTTGTTTTCCATCCCGTTATGCCTAATGCTATTGCTTCATGCTCCTGGGATGGAAGCATTTCAGTGTTTGAGCTGTGAACCATCGGCCCTGTTTCATGGCAGTCTCTGGCCCTCGAGTGGTGGAGGGGAACTTGGGAGCAAGTCTCTGCCATTTAGTCACAAGATAAATGACTTGGAAGAAAACAAAAGGAGATGGGGAGGCGAAGGTCCTCTTTTCCAAGTCTCTATAGATTTTTCTATTTTCTTACATGTTAGGTTTGAATAGTTAGATCTGTCCCAGATCATATGTGATTTGATGCTTAGGTTTTTTGACTTGTAGGATAGTTATATCTTTTAAAAGATAGTTATATCTTTTGACATGACCTTATCCAGGATGTTACCTATTTAATACACTTTTGGAACTCTGCTTGGCCTTCTGTTGTGCCCTTAATCATTCTGATTCCTGATAACCCTTTACTTTCCAATGGAAGAACTGTTTCTGATAATTGCGGGATTGGTCTTGCTGTGTGTAAATCGGCGCATGTGTGTGTTTCCCATCAGCATCTAAATTCTAAATTGGCTGATGAGTCACTCTGCCTCCACCCCCACTTTGAAACAAAAAGGAAGCGGCACAAATAAGGTTCATGGCTACCAAGATTCTACCAAGCATTCCCTTTCTCAAAGGATTGCTTCAGTCAAAGGATGCCATCATAAAACGCAGTTTTTGTCTGAAGAAAATGACTGGCTGATTTCAGCTGGACAATTATTGGCTGGCAAGTTGCAAGTTTCCCACATCGGGTTTTTTCAGGTCTTGGCCCAAAATTTCAGCATCAAAGTTTTTTCAAATCTCTATAAATTATATCTTGCTTAGAATCCTAGTTAAATCTCTCCCCATGTAATGAACAGGATGCGAATCTTAGCCGTTCATTTGATCCAGTTATTCCATGTGTGACACGTGTTGTGGTTTTGTATAGGATGGCCCCCTCAAATGAATAGCTAGGATTGTTCGTCTGCACCTTCCAGTGCAGACAATATCCATTGTGTCCATTAGGAATCTCTATTTAAATGATTTCACTGAAAATTCTTTTCCAGGTTCAAAGAAACATGGTGTCCAAGTCAGAAAACTGGAAATTATGACATGTAGTTGTGTGTCGTTCACACTCTAAATTAGGACAAGGGCTCTTCTTTCTCCTTCCTCTGTCCCAACTTAATCTACAGGGGGAAAATAATAACAAACTTGAAATGTGGCAAGAGGAGTGGTGCTGGTAGCTTACTAGTCAAAACGGTGTGTCTAGGTTCCTATAACCAATACCTACCATGGAACACCAAAATGTGATTTCATTTAAGAACATAGCCTGTGGGGGCAAACTCACCGGTTCTTAAAGTTCATCCACTTCTTCCCTCAAGCAAGAGAGATTGAGAGGGGGGGCCAAACTAGCTAGCTAGCTCTTCACAAAGACATAATTATGCAATTCTTTACTTCCATTTTTCAATGGGGTCAATTGTAGCAGACATGACTCACCACAGCACCACTTCTCTCTTTTTCTAGATGCATTTGCTTGAGACGCCAACCAAAATATCTTCAGATACGTTTATAATATAAAATCCGTAGTAAATTGCAATGTTGCATTATTCACAAATTATAAATAGTAGGCCGGAGAAACATGTGTAGTTTACTCAAAATGAATAGGTATACAAAATATCTCTTTATAATTGATTTAGTTTGAACAAGTCTACTTAAGAATATTTCATTTTATTTTTTTGGACAACTTTTTCAATCTGCCAAATTTTCAACACTAAATCTGATATGGGTGTAAATATTAACCATTGGGAGAAATGAAAAGGAGAGAAAGAAAACGTTTTTTTTTTCCTTTTAAATATTGTGCACTATAGAGAGCACTATCTAGACAATGCAGCATCTGAAGGAAAGGCAAACACCAATGGTCCACGCAAGCCTCTCTTAGAACTGTTTATATTGGAAAATATGGTAATCCCTCCCTTTCCCCTCCATTCAAAGCAAGGAGGAAACACAGTTATGCAGCCTAGTAGTCGACAAACATTATTTTATTTTCAATCTTTACATCAATATGCTCCCCACCTTCCATGGTCTTAACTCTTAACCGCCCTCTCTCTTTATTATCCCAATATTTATCTCTTTGTCCCACACTCTACTCTCTTTCTTTCACAAACATGGAACAAGTTCTAGCCAGCTCTAAGAGAATAGAATATATATTTATGTATCATCCTAGTCTCATCTCAGCTTTAACTGATATGAAAGAATGGACTTTGAATGGATCATTCATAGCCCGGTATCACAATTACAGAAAAAGAAGAAGAATAAAGAAAGAGGGATGAGAGAGAGAGAGAGAGAGAGAGAGAGAGAGAGCGAGCGAAGTGTGCGGTGTGCCCCTACTACTCCTACTGCTTCATGTGGCAGCAATCATCGTCTAAAAGAGAGACACAGTGTTTGTGGCGTACTTGAGGTCAAGCGAGCATTCGGGTTTGAAGGTCCCACCAGTTACCCTTAAGGCGACACGAAACGATGGGCTGAAAGGTTTTTTAGTTTTACTAAGCCGTTTGCTGTCTTGTTGTGATAAGAGTTGAAGGATTTGACCTGAACTTCATGCTTTGAACCCACTTTTCATTGCCTTCTTTTCTTTTCCTTTTCTTTCTATCTTTCATTCATTTCAGAACCAAATATAACCATTATTAAGAATCTACTAATAAGCTTTAGGATCAGAAATCCACACCCATTAATCACTCTTATCCCTACATTATAATGCCGTTAATTTCCCCCCATCGTCACTTCAGTGCACAGTGTGGAACATAAAATAATGCTCTGTCAAATGTCAGCTAAAAATGAAGGAGAAATCTGTCATATTAATGCACTGTGTCAAGCAAACATCTTTTTCTTCACAAAGTTCAGTAAAAAAAAAACTCAAAAAATTGTTCTACTATTATTTGTGTGTGTATGTGTATTGAAGCATATACCTGTATTGTTGATATATTTTATTAGCAAAAAATTCAAGATCACTGTAAAACACTTTGACAAGGAGATTTCCTCTCTTTCTCAGGTTCTTGGTCTATCTTGTCAATGTTGGCTAGCTTTCAACTTTTTGGATTAATGTTTATCCTCTGCTACATGGTAGACCATAATCAAAATGTTTCCGCCTTAGTTCATATTGTTATTATCACTAGGCTTCCAATCCTGGCCTTGAAAAGTAGCCGACAGACTCATTCCATGGGTTCTGCCATGTGATTTGTGGCCTCACGACCAAGTTCACCCATTTGGTTGGTTGTGTTTTATTCCCGCCCCCACAAAAAAGAAATATAAAAAAAAGAAAAGAAAAGAAACCAACTTTGAGAAATTATAATAACCACTCATGGTTTTCTAAAGACATTTGGTTTAATAGCAATCTCAATTTTCCTAATTGGGAAGGATATGCCTAATAAGGTTTTCTACGTCCATACAGTGGGATGACACTTTCTGTGAATTTGGTAGTATATGCTTTCAGAAACCTGACAAGGCGTGATTATAATCTAAGCCTTCTGTTTAACAAAAATATTCCAATGGTAATGATGGCATCAAAAAGCCTTAGCGGGGACTTTGTTTGATGATCAATGCCTATTAATTGACACTAAGTTCTAGAAAGCTGAGTCCAGCTAGAAGATGATGAACTTGATCAATTAGATTCTGTATGCTTTGATAGGTCTTTTCTCATAATAGCGGATCGATCTCTCTCTCTCTCCCACTTTCTTTTTTGTAAGTATATTTATTTATTTCATTTCACCTTTTATACAGAGAAGATTGGTCTCAAGCCTCACTGACCATTGCTTGGATGCTGTCAGCTTAACTGAACGTTATCAGCTGGATTCCAACCAAAAAGCCATTATATTCACAGGAAAATATATTTAAAACAAATAAAAAAATTAATTTCAGAAAAATGCATTAGCTTTTTCTTTCTTTTCTGTTTCTCCTTTCAAAAAAAAGTGTACGCTGTTTGTTCTTATTCTTCCTTTCAGATATATAAAACAATTTTTTTTGGAGTGAAACACACACGCATATTCGGTTTTGTCACATATGCATGCTTTGTTTGTGTTTACCATAATGCTTATCATTATCAGCAACCTCGATCAGCACTGGAATACCTATGCATTGTGTTGACAAGAATCAATAGAAGTAACGAAGAGGGGATATGAAAGGAAGTTTGGCATATAATATTAAAATCATTATTATGAGCTGCTAAGGCGTTTTTGAAGGACACAAACTCTTGTTCTTGCACTTGACCGACATCATTCACATCCTCAACAGTTGGTGGATATCAAGACCTAGCATTAGCAAGTGTCTATGATCATCACACAAATATATATATATATATATATATATCAAAGGGTAAAATTAAACATGAAAGTAAAAGCGAAACAGTACGAGACACAGCAAAAAGTAAAAGCTTGCAAGACAAGGCGAATAATGAAAAAGAACGTTTTTCAAAGAAGAAAATTATTGGCATTGCTCATGATTAAAAAAAACAGTACAAAATTATTGGCATACGTTTCGTTCACATTGCTACATATGTTGTGGAAAGTACCTTGTTCTCATTCAATAATAGTGTGCAAGAATCCTATTTGAACCAAGTGGGAATAAAAGAGAGCCTAAATCAATGACAATCTTCATAGGAATTAACATTAGGTCTTTCAAATCAGTTTAATGCTTGGATTAACAACTTATTAAATCAGGTATCAGTATCATGGACTCATAAGTTATGAGTAATTATATCCTAATGTGGTTTTCAGGGACAATTACAAATAGGTCTCATATAAAAAACTTATTTATAAATAAGTCTTACACAAATTTGTAAAACTATAGTTAAATGAATCACGTCTCATGAAACTTGGTTATAATTAATTTATCATATAAAATGATACAAATATTCTTAGACTTCCATCTTCTTTAACTAGCATTGACTAACCATTGGCAATCATTATCCAGTCAATTGGCCATTGGTCAATGTTGATGGTCACTGATTAAAGTGACAAAAGTTTAAGAACATTTGTGTCATTTTATGTAGTAAATTAATTGTAACTAAATTTCACGAGATTTGAGTGTGTTTTACAAATTCATGAAAGTTTTTGGTAAATGAGTTTGTTATGTAGTATCTATTTATAACTTTCCCCTTTTATTACCCACAAAACTTGAACTTAAAACCTTATTTATGAATATCAAAGTCGTTTCGCATGAATCCAAGCTAAGCACGACCGGTCTAGTAAAATGCTTTCTCTTGTGACTGTGATAGATTTATCAGAGGAATGAGAAATTGACAGCGAAGTCCTGCTTTAGTAAAAACTGGTGCAATATTATTGTCTTTATGTTGCATGAAGTGGTAGACAAGATATCATAATACTCATACCAACCACAGTGCTAACTA